CCTTGTAACCCGGCCGAGCCTGCTGTCCCTCCAGCCATGCCCGATGCCGTGCCCGATGCCGTGCCCGAGGACACATCTCCGGGAGAGGCGCTGGACGCCTCGCCAGCTGAGAATGTGAGTCCTTCGGACCTGGCCGCTCGTCTGGACCAGGCCTTTTCCTTCGTTTCAACCATCATGGAAATCGCCGATGCCGATGTCACGGATTCCCCCGGTCCACCTGCCCCCCCGGCGGCCGAGCAGCCCTCTGCCCAGCCGTCCGATGGGTCCCCGATGGGGGACCCCTCCGTGCCGGTGCTGCCGCAAATCGCCAGCATGTCGGCCGGCAAGCTGCGGCGCATCTCGCTGCCCCCCTCGCGCCTGGCCCCGCCATCGGTCCCAATCAACCTCTCTGGCACGGCCATCTCCGAGGACGATTCCTCCTCGAGCGATGGGGATTACAGCGATTCCTCGGGTGACAGTGACACTCCGCCGGACATGGCGGGCCTCGAGCTGGATGCCGCTCACTGGCCGGAGCCCCCAAGCGCGGGGGCCGTGGTCTTTGCCACGGCCGCCATCGGCGCCCGGGGGTCCACCCCGGAGCAGCCCCTCCTGTCGCTTGGACCTGGGGATTTCATCCGCGTGCAGGAGCCCCCGGCCAAGGCCACCCCGCCGGCCGCGGCCGGGTGGGCATTTGGTCGTCAAATGTGCGCCAATGCCTTCCCCCCCGGGGCCGCCTGGGCCGCCGAGTGCGTGGGCTTCCTTCAGCAGCCGCCGGGCAGCCAGGAGGCAAGTATGCCGGCCTCGGCAACCGAGCTGCTGGTTGCCCATCGGCCGGCCGGCTTCTTCCCGTTGGCGGCCGTGCGTCGGCTGGCCGACCGGGCCCTGGTCCGGTTGTCGACGGAGGCCGAGCTGGAGCGCGACATCCGCACCCAGGCGGACGCCGTCCTGCCGGAATCCCTGCGCCCCGGGACCCCGGCCGTTGGCACTCTGATTGACCAGCCCAGCCGCAGCACAAGCTCCAAGCGCCCGAAGAAGCCGGCCTCCGGGGGCGGGTCCATTGGCCCGGCGGCCGGCGGGACCCTGCGACCGATTGTTGTTCGCCACACGGCGGCCGACTCGCCAGGGGCCGACCTGCCGGGGGGGTCTGTCGGCAATGTGGCCGCCCAGCCTCCCTGTGCCCTGAGCCAGAGTCATGTGCTGTGGCGGGACACGGTCGACCCGGCCCTGGCGGAAGCCCTGCCGCGGGATGCCCTCCGTCGCCAGGAGGCCATCTTCGAGCTGGTTCGCACGGAGGGCAGCTACCTGCGCGATTTGCTGGTCTTGGAGCTGTACTTCCAGCGACCTCTGCGCCAGGTGGGTCTCCTGTCGCTGCAGGACCCGGTTGCCGGGCAGGCAGCCGGCATGCCGGCCGGGCATCTGGCCCCGGATGGCCGTCTCCCCCAGACCCGGCTCTTTGGCCAGTTGGCCGTCCTGCGAGACATCAGTGCCCGGTTGTATGGGCGCCTGCGGGCGGCGGCCCTGGCCTGCCCATTGGTAGATGTGCTGGCCCCGGCCATTCGCCCGATTTTGCCCCTCTTCCGGGCGTATGTGGCCCACTGCTCCGGCACGCCGGCGGCCCTGGCCCTGGTGGCGGCCCTGCGTGCGGGGGAGTATGGATCGCGCGCGGCTGATGCCCTGCGCGGTCTAGATGGCGCGGCCTTCCTGCCCGGGTCGCCTGCCCGCGGGCTGGCCCTGAGTTCCTTCCTGCTGACGCCGGCCCAGCGTGTGTGCAAGTACCCGCTGCTGCTGCGGGAGATCCTGCGGTACACGCCGGAAGGCCACCCGGACCAGGCCGCCCTGGTGGACATTCTCCAGCAAATGACCGACATCGTGAACATGGTCAATGAGGAGAAGCGTGCGCTCGAGGCGGCCGAGCGCCTGGTCGCCTTCGAGCGGCGCTTCGCCAAGCTTGGCCAGGCGGATTCCTTCCTGCCGGGTCCGGGGTTCGGTGGCGGCCCGGCCGGCCAGCGGCGCCGGATCATCCATAGTGTGCACTCGGTCTTCGTGGCGGCTCCCCCGCCCGGAGGCATGGGGCCCGCCTCCAAGCGCCGGAGTGCCAGTCTGGTGGACTCGCACCGGCGGCGTGGGCTCTTCGGCGAGCGCGTGGAACCGGCCCTGGTCGGCGAGCCGCGTGCCATTTACATCCTCGACGATCTGCTGGTGGTGGTGCGCGCGGTGCTCGGCTCCGGATCCGGTGCCGGTGGGGCCGGCGGATCGCTGTCGGGCGGATCGCTGTCAGCCGCCACCGGGGCCTCTCTCGGGGCGGTGGCCGGTGCCGCGGCCACCGGCGGCGGATCCTCCAGCGGCCTGGCCGGCGCCGTGTCCGGGGTCCACCCCAACTCCCTGCTTGATGGCCCGCCGGCCGAGCAGCTGCCCGGGGGTCCGGCTCGACTGGAGCTGGTCGCTCGGTGGCCGCTGGCCCGGGTTGAGGCCATCCCCCTGCCTGGGGATGTCAGCGGCACGGCCATGATCATCTCCCTCCTGCCGTCGGTTCTCCTGTCCAAAGCCACACCCGACATCATCGAGGAGGTGGATGGCGATCCGATGTCCTCCTTCTTGTCCAAGCTCTCCGGCGACTTCCAGTCCCGGCCCATGGTCTTCCTGGCCACGCGGACGCCGGAGCAGCGGAATGCGTGCGTCCATCTGTCGTCCCCCGCTGCCCTGTCTGTCTGTCTGTCTGTCCTCCTTTCGCGTTGTTCTCTTTTGCTCGGTTTCGGCCTGGCCGCTCGCCCCCCGTTCCTTCTTTTCTGGGCAGGCCTCCCGACATGGCCGTGTGTTCCTGACCTTCCCCTCGCTGGCCATTGCCAGTCTCTTTGAGGACATTTCCACCAACCTGATCGAGCTGCTAAAGAACCGTGATCCGGATACCCTGAGCTTCGCTTCGTATCTGGGGCTCGGCGAGATGGCCGAAACGTATTGCTCCCCGGTGGAGGAGGCTTCTGCGGGCTCGGCGACCGGGGGCGCGCCCTCCGTCCACTTGTCCAGTTCCTCGGCCTCCCTGAGCTCGGTGGCCTCTTCGCAATCCGGGCACTCGGTCTCCGGCGGGGCTGGGGGCTCGGTGCGTGGCCTGTCCACCAGTGGCGGGACTTCCATCCTCCGGACCCTGTCATTGTCATCCTCCACCCGGATGTCAGCCTCCCGGAGCCGGCCGCATATTCTGGCCGACACCTTTGAGCAGCCGCGCGCACGGGCCCTGTCGACCAATTCCTCCAATGAGGAGGGCCCGGCTTTGGCCATGGGGGCCCGCGATCCCCCCCCGGCCTCGGCGGCACCAGCCGCTGGGCAGCTTCTCTTGCCGCCCACCGGCATGGCAGGGGGCCTGTCCCGAACGGGGTCTGTCGACCGGGGCCCCGGCGGGGCCGGTGGCGGCCATCTATCTCCCTCCCCCTCGCACCACTCTTTCCGGTCTTCGGGGCTTTCCATCCACTCGGCCTCGGGCGCCGGGGAGTACTCCCCGCCGCTGGCCCTGGCGGATGCCCTCTTCACACTCCGCCCCGATGGCCCGGGGCTCCCGGCCTACTTGGCAGAGTTCCTCCAGTCGGATGTCAGTCTGTGCCGCGCTCTTCCCTCGTCCCGGCCCAGGTGCGTCTGTCGCCATGTTGTCTTGTGTCTGCCTGGCTCCTGGGCTCTGTGCCTGCCGGCCCAGCGACTGACCCGCCTGGGCACCCCCTTCCCGTCCTCTCTCTCTCTCTCTCTCTCTCGGGCTTCTTTTTTTTTTTTCCTTCGCGGGCATCTCCCCCCGTGACACAGTGTCTCCTTTGCCTCCCTCGAAAGCATGGCCTTCCCCCGGACGGTGGACGCCTCGTCCAAACTTGATGCCTCGGACCCCTTCTCACTGCCCTCTTTCAATGTTCTGGGGGCTGTGCGCCGGACCGGCGTCAAGAACCGCTTCCAGCGCCTGACCGCCTCGGCCGGCTTCGTGCGTCCTCCTCCTCCTCCTCCTCCTCCTCCTCCGATTCCTTTCCTCCTGTCCCATGCTTGGCCTGTTGCCCATGTCTGACATTTGTTCCCCCCTCTTGGCCTTCGGTTCTTCCGCCGTGTGTGCCATCAGGCCTTCGAGGTGTCCATCTTCGAGCCCGCTCTCAATGTCCTGCTCCCGGTTCAGGGAGAGCCGCCTGCCCAACGTTGCGTTTACAAGACCTTCGAGGATTTCTTCCAGCTGCACTTTACCCTGAGCAGCCGCTGTGGCAGTGGCCGCTCGGAGGGGGGGCCCGGCGCCGGCGCCGTGGCCCCTGCCAGCCCCAGTGCCCAAGACTCCGGCCGGTCCCCGGAGCTTTTGGCCCTGCTGTCTGGCACCCAGCACCTGTCTTCCTTTGGGCATTTCGCCCACCTTCCCCTGCCCCAGGTCCCGCAGCAGTCCACGGTACGCGCACACTTGGGCACAAGTCCCTTCCTCTCCCCTGCCGGACGCCGGTGCCCCGATGGAGCCGCCCGCCTGCCAGCCGCTGGTCGCCTCCCATGCTGACTCTTGCCCGCTCTCCCCTCCGCCCCTCCTCTTTCCTTCTCTCCTACCCCCCCCCCTCCCCTGTCGACGGCAGCTGACCAGCGAGACGGTGTTGGAGGAAATGCTGGAGGAGTTGAACCGTTACGCCCATCGCGTGGTGCTGGCCATTCAGCTGGCGCTACATGTGGCTGTGGCTCGCGCTCCGGCGGGCGCGCAGCCGGAGATCCCCGACTGGCTGCTGACTGCCATCACGCTGGTCCGGGAATTCTGTGATGCCGATGGGGCACAGCTTCGGTGAGGGGGAGATCCCCATGTTGGGACCTTGGGCGTGGTCCCGTGCTGGCCGCGCCAGTGTGCGCCCCTGCCCCCCCCCCCCCCTCCCACCATCAGTCTGTTGGGATACTGTGCTCTTCTTATGTGGCCCATCCGCGCAGGCAAACGCCCAGGCATCTCTTTTCGTCCCTTCACTTGTAGATGCATATGTGTGCGTGTGCGTTCATGCCGCTGGCCATGGGCCGGCATGTCACCTTCGCGCGCCTGCACAATGGCCCATGCACAGGCACCCCCCCCACACCGCCCTTCAGGGTTCCCACCAGCCTCCGCACCCCTCGGGGAACAGCCATCGGCCGGCGCACGCATGCGCACATGTACGCGCCCGCCCGCCCCGCCTGCCTGCCCGCCCATCCACCCACATAACCATATGTGTTTGTAAATATATGTGAATGTCCTTGTCTTTCCCTCCATCTGCCGCCATGGTTGCTGCATTCTGCATGTGCCGTCGTCCCTCCAAGGGGTCTTACTTCTTTCCTTTTATTGCCCCTCACAAGCTTGGCCCGGGGGGGGCATCGGCCGCCTGCACGCCGGGGAAGTGCGCTCCGCCGGTGGTGAGGCCGGGGCCCGCATTCACTCGGGCCGGGCGCCTGGATATGAGGGCCTGTGTCGACATGCTGATGTTAGACGGGCTTTTGGGCGACGAAGCCAAGCGCCCGGCGATGTGGGCGCACCTGAATTCGACCGACCCGCCACCGAGCGGCGGCGGGATCCCATTCCAGGCGGCCGAAAGCCACCGGTAGCGTGTCGGTGGAGTGGGCCCAACCAATGTCCACTGAGCAATCTGCATCTCCCCCCCCCCATGCGACTGTCAGTGACACACCGATGCAAAGTGAAGGACCGCCGGCATGTGCGCACCTTCGCGGCTGGCAGTCATCACGATGCAACCCCCATCCCGGACAGGGTGGCTCGAAAGCTGCGGAGCATCTGGGGCCGCACGGAGGAGCAAAGTTGGACCGTGGGGGAGGGAAAGAAGAAGGGCCGGGAGGCCGAGGGTCAGAGGAGGAGCAGGCAAGACAGTGATCGATGGGCGAGCCGGCCGCACCGAGGAAGGTATGGCGAAATGCCCGGCCCAGGACCTCGATCAGGGGATCTCCCGCTTGGGAGACGGCATCTGCCATTTCGCGGGCCAGCTGCGTGCGAATGATCTGCTCCCCGCGGCCGGTGGTACAGACCCCCACCGGGGGCATGGGCCTGGGGCCGTACCGTCCGGACTCCCTGCGAAAGGCGCTGGCATAGAGTCCGGCCCCCAGCAGGGGGCTCTACATGGTGGGCGATGGCGGTTAGGGGGGATGCGCTGGCGAGGAGCCCAACGCCCACCGGCCAGCCTCGGCAGGGCCCCACCACACGCACCGATCCCACACGGCCTTCCTCCTTGAGCCAAATGCCACCGGAGGAAGTGGCGCAGGCAACTCGCCCGGCCCCGTCGATGACACAAACGCCGATCGTGTCGCCACCTGGCGGGACACTGGCCGGGGAGTCCGAAGGCGCCGGCTCGCGTCCTGAGGCTGGCACTTCGGCATGGGCATTGCCCGGGTGGGCCGCCGGGGAAAGCCGTGCCCGTTTGGCATTCCGAGCGTAGACATCCAGGAGCCGAATGCGCTGAGCAGCACGCTTTTCTGCGGGGGTTCCAACGCCCGGCCCGAGAGCACACCGTGCTCATGGGGGTCAGTGGTTGCCACGTTCGAATGGGAGGCAGGAGGGTGGGCCGGCAGGTGACGGACCAGTGACTAGGGCCCCGGAGACCAGGGCCTCAGCGTATGTGGGACGGTCGACCACGAGTGGCTCCTCAGAGCAAGGGTATTTGGATGCATCGAGCTCTCGACCGAGCGTCCAGCCGCCCTCACCACTGAGAAGACTATGGGGAGGTGCGTGCGTTGCGTGTGTGCGTGCGCGTGTGTGTATGCGTGCATGTGTGTGTGTGTGTGCATGTGTGTATGCGTGCATGTGCGTGCGCGTGTGTGTATGCGTGCATGTATGTGTGTGTGTGTGTGTGTATGTGTGTGTGTGTGCGTGCATGTGTGTGTGTGTGTGTGTGTGTGTGTGTGTGTGCATGTGTGCATGTGTGCATGTGTGCATGTGTGCATGTGTGCATGTGTGCATGTGTGCATGTGTGTGTACATGCGCGGACAGGTGTAAATAAGCACACGCAGGAGGGACACATTCAGAAGGGAATGCGTGCTGAATGGCAAAGGGACATGACAGGGGCGGGGGCCCGCGTACCAGGGGAGCACTCGACCGCCGGGATCGAGGCCCGAGCCGGAGCCGGCCCGAGAGCGCTGGAGGACGGCCAAAGCCAATCGAACGGGCCGCAAGATCCCCGGGCACGCGGCCAGGCCGCCGAAATCCCCCGCCCGACCGCACATGACCGCGGCATCGGCCTCAACGCGTCCAGTCCGCAGGGTGAGCGTGCTGTCCAGGCCGGCATTGGGGCCGGTGCTGCGCTCGAGGACCTCGGCCGCGGCCACGGCGGCCTCGAGCGCGGCCGATGCCTCATCCATCGGTAGCCTGGTGCAGCCGGTCGGCAGGTGCCCCGGACAGCGGGCCAATTGCTGGAGGGCTGCTCGGGCAGCCCGCCGGCAGGCAAGCAGCGCCTGACGCTCGGCCAGCGACCCGGGCACAAGCGACCCACCGCCGGCTATCGATGACAAGGGTCAATGTACAGGCACACGCGCGCACACGCACACATCTGTATAGCAAGCATGCAAGCATGCATGTGTGCATGTATGTGGGAATGGGCCTGCCCATTCGTGCATGCACAGCAGAGAACCCCCCCCCAGCCCGAGAGAAGGCGATGCTCTTTGACGAACCATGGACAAGGACGCTTGGGGGTACCTGGGTCAGACCGCCGGGCCGCGATCGACAGACAAGGCAGTCATCCGCCGGTGTCCCGGCCTTGGCAGCACAGCTCGCGGGAGGCATGCTTGGTCGATGAGTGAATGAGCGGCGGCCAGAGAAGAGGGTGTCAGCGGGAACAGGCGAGCCGGGGAATATATCCCCCCCCCTTCGAAGGGGCGAACCCCCCCGGCCAGCGTGCTTGGCCTTCTGCCTCCAGGGAGGTGCTCCGCGCGTCCTTCGCGTCCCCGGTCGCCTCGCTGTGCCGGAGCCACACGTGATTCCTCACCAGGGCCGGCCGCCGCCGGCCGTACAGGCCTGCTGAATCTGAGGCTGGATGGAATTTGGTGTATTGTGATGATTGATGAATGACAGGTGCGTGTGCGTGGAGGAGGAGAAGGGAGGGGGGG